TGTGTGCTCGAAGGATTTATCGAACACCACCTTAAATCGCGTTCTCACGCGAGAACAAAATGAGCTTACAGCCTACCAAACATTTTACCTGGACTTAAATCAATTTCTACTTCTTTTTTCCACTAGCATCTTCCATAAAATTTTTTAGAAGCCTTTGTTTTGTAGTCTGTTGGCCCCGTCCAAGGGGGTTAAACGGCGATGAAATCGTTTGTCTGTGGAATTCGAAGAAGCTGGACGCCCCAGTGCTCTGTTGGGAGCAAGTTTCGCGTCGTTCTTCAATATTATCGGCCTCTCTCCCCCTCGATTCTCGTCACCCTTCCGGTACAGACTTTGTCTGTGTGCGCGGGCAAATGGAATCGTTGAACTCATAGACCGTCTTCCTTCCCGGATGGAAGCTACTCCGGCACTCGAGGCTCTAACCCCAGCGAAGCTGGAAACGCTTAAACCCTTGATTGGCTGCGCGGTTTCGCGCTGAAGGGGTCGGCTGAACCGAAAACACGTCGCGTTCTGCGTCACTTCGGTCGTCGTCGTGGAAGATACTTTGTTGCTCGTTGATGTGCCCAGACTGTGGAAAGATTCTTCCGTTTCTTTCGTTCCAGGGACGGATCCAAGGGGTGGGATGGAGGCAATCATCCCTCGCCCCTACAAGAATATTTAACACGTGCCACATGGGGCGTTACACGCAATTTTTCATTCAATTTCTGAAATTTAACCCTGAATTCAACGGTTCCGAGCATAGAATATTGTTCTTTTAATACACCCATGTTCAAACGATGCAAACTTTTGCGTGCCCCTAATATAAACGTTTTTGGATATAAATAAAAAATTGTCGGAGTTAGTTGTTTAGGCTATTGTTGGATAAATATATTAATAAATAGATTGTTAACGAATTTTAAATAGCGCGAGAGAAGGTTCAAAAATATATTTTTATATGTTTCGCACCCTCCTCCCAAAGCAAGCCTTCCGGATCCACCCCTGTTTGGTTCACCCCTCGCAAGTGTAACGTGGGTGAACACTGGGAATAAGAAATAATTTATGGAGTCTTTTATGAGCATTTCTCGGAAATACAAACATGGTTTCCAAGACAGTCCTCTTGCAATTGAACCTGGACAACTGGATATCAAATAGAGAGGTTCGGGAAATTTAAAAAAATTTTAAATCGTTCTAAAAAAATTATTTTCGGTTGCGGAGGTTAATTACAATCATCTTTGGTGAATAAACATACCCTCGAAATCCTACGTACTTTCGCGAAAAAAATTCGACCAGGCGAAGAAATTTTTCACCGAAATTAAAAAATTTTACATCGTTCTAAAAAAATTATTTTCGGTTACGGAGGTTAATTACAATCATTTTTGGTCAATAGACATACCCTCGAATTCCTAACCATTTTTGAGAAAAAAATTCTTTGTTGCTAATGTTTGCGAATGCCACTAAAATGGTAATGGGGTTCTAAAGTCCCAGAAAAATGTGCCGAAAAAATACATTGGATGTAAGGTGTACCTGTATACCTCGTCTGTGATTATATTTTTCGTTCTTATCACTTCGTATCTAGGTATAGTTCAATTATTCTCTGTCTATAGTAGTGAATAGGTCTATTAATAGTGAGCTGTATCGACAAATTCTACAAATAGGAAATACACTCAAACAACGAATGACCATCAAAATAGGATCTGCTGGTCAAAGAACTTATTAATAAGATCTAATTTCAGATTTTGATCGGGGAACAACATGTTTTAGAAACGTGTTTGCCTTTCCAGGAAGTGTTCGTAAATATATTAATAGCAGATTAGGATTTATCTTTGTTTATTATGTATTATTGATAAGGAAGTGTCTGCGTATGTCTTTTTGTCCGATGAATTATCTCGCGATCGTAATGGCTGTGTCGCGAACGTTCGAATTCATCTGTCGCATCGTAAGATTCACTTTTAATTCGGACTCGAGCGCTCGTAGTATCTTTCAAAGGGACGCGGTAGCGTAAGCGGTCCCATTCATAAACCTAAAATCAATGACGAATCGGTGAAAAGAAATCCGCGGCCGCGGATTGGTCGAGCCTCGTCGCCATGATGGCATCGCTGGCCAATCGGCGTACGCCTTGTTTTCCCGTACTCGTGGCGGATTCTCTCTTTCTAGCTCGCAAATTCCTGCGCTTTTAATCTCTTCTGGCCTGCATGCAGTCTACCTAGACATTAAGATTAGACTTCCATACGGCATAATTAATTTATTTAAAATAATAAATATCCCCCGTCTCCGTCCATTTCGTGTTCAGAGAAAGGAAAAGTATTTATTAATGTCTTAGACTCCCATTCAAGGCTGTTGACACAGGTGCAAGATATGTGTAAAGATAGTAGAACAGTATAAGAAAACACATTATTTTAGTACTGTTTTTATTCAAGATAATAATCGTAAATTAAAATTATTTTTTCGTTTATTTAGCACATTGTGTTTTGAATTCCGATAAATAGCGAATATATAGTAGAGAAACTCAAAAAACAGATACTCATCGTATATTGATTATGCTAAAAATCTAATCAAAATATCCTTATGATTACTAAAATTCACGTACATAATTTTTCAATGTAATTTCGTTCATCGAATCCAAGGAATATTATTAATTTATTTTAACCAAAGAATAAAAATTCAGTCCCAAAGAGGTTAAAGTCTTAATTGTATAATTATTTTCGGAGACGAGAGCGATATTATGCGCGGCGACTGAGGAAATTAATTAAAATTCATGCTCGCGTTTCACTCGGGGCTTTTCGAAAGATCGTCGAGAAATTGGGTAGGAGTAAATCGATCGCTGACACTGGCGTATCAAATAATAACGGACTTCCCGTGACTCCATTTCCTCTTTTAAATCATCGAAATCGGGAAACGATCCTACGCGTGATTTTTTATATCGATAGAAAAGTATAGGTACTGTGAAGCGTCAGGAAAAATATAAATATTAAAACTCGAGGAAACCACCCCTTAAAAATAAATTTGGTTATAGTATCGCACAGTTTTATATTATGTATAATTGGCGCGAAAATCAAACTTCACAAATAATTCAAGTGCAGGTGTTCGTACTATTTTTGTCTGCTGAACCGACGAATGGTAACAACGAAACGTTCACTATAGACAAAAAATGTCGTTCTACGTGATCCCTTCGCTGCAATCCTACCGAGTTTGTCTACTTTTTAAGACAAATGGCGCATTGCGTGCACGAAGCAGGCGCAGTGCGCTAGTTAAACGACGGAACGAACGAAGAAACTTCGAAAGCTGCTCGCGATCATATTTCCATCAATTTTACGCCATTTTTTCAAAGTTTCGTGCACCTAAATGCTCCGAGAAAAAGTTGCCCTTTCGCATTTTTTTAAATCAGATATTTGGGAAACTCATCCCCGAAGCGTTACGTTGACACGTGTATAATTAATGATATTGATTACTTTCATTGAAGTCGGCGAGATGTTAATTACTCTTTGAGTACTTTGTCGATCGAGTAGCAAAGTCGTGATTAAAGCTTCCATCGATCAGTTGTTAATGCAATCGTTATTATCCGTGCAGTGTACACGTTTAATCTATCTGATAACCAGTTGTACAAAAATAAAGAAATATAATAGGTTTTTGTAAAGTAAAAATTTGTTGAAAAAGTGGAACTATCGAATTATTCATACATAAGTAATTTCATGTATTCGTATGAAATTGGAGATTGCATGTTGGCGAACTGCTCAACAGATTTCCTGGTTTCGAACGTTTTTTATATACCAAAAACGCTCCCTAGCCCGGAAATTGTTGCGATTCGAATCAGAATTTTGGTTCATCGTATGAGTATAGGCAATCGGTTTCAGGGGTATTTTTATGTATTTTTTGGTACCGGAAACTATGTCATTTTATTAACAAAGAATACTGCGTAAAATACATTATATTTATTTTTATAAACACCGATACATTGTTCATTTTAACAGTAAAAACACTTTCAATGCATTTTCACGAGAACAGAATAAAATAGAAACATTCTGTAATCTTCAGTCTTGCAGAAAACAATTTATGTAACGTTTCGATTCAGTGTTAGAATCCTCTTCGATACCATAAAAAGAAATGCTTTTAAAGAAAATGTTTAAAATTTTCGAACGCTTATTTTACAGCAAGTCATTGCATTTTAATTTATTAACAAAACAGAGAATATAAAGCGGCACGAGCCGTCGAATTTTCATTTCTATTATACGAAAAACATCTTTCTAATTAACGCGTAAAAATAAGAGCGGCGGTAATTCAAAAGGGGCTGCGTCTGGTGATTTACAATAATTATTACCACCGTCCATTTCGGAAAGGGAACCGGAAACGCGACGTTTTATTGTTCCATAGTTCGCGGAAAAAGTGGGTGAACCCCTCCGGCAGCCATCTTTCATTTACAAACAAAGCATCGGAGGGAAAAAGTTTCCGAGGCGAGCACAACGAAAGGTGAAAAAAATTCCGCGAAATTCGCGTGGCGTGCTCTTTGTCATTCGCCGTAAATGAAATTTTGTGATTGTAGCGTGCCTCCGGGCGACAGGCGAATTCTCTTTTTACACCTATAAATGTCGATTAACGGAATTTAAATTAAATCGGCACGTTTTCGTTTCACTGTGCCGCAGATTGGCGCTCGAATTGCAAATGCAACGTAATTGTAATTAAAAAAAAAAAAATTTTTTTTTAACGAAAGGATCTCTTCGTACGAATAAACACCACCTGTGTCTCTCGAGTTGCAACAATTTCTGTCTCCCAGGTTATTAAAAGTTGCTCCCTCGGTCGAATTAATGCAATTTTTGTTTCTCTGGTTGTCACAAGTCCTCTCAGGTTGCAACAATCTTGTTCCACTAGTTGGTCTCTCATTTCAGTTCCATGTCTCTGACAATGCGAGGAATAGTTTGGGTGTTCCCCTCTAAGTGGTCCAAACGCCACCTTTCTGTTTAACAATGTTCATGAATCTGATTGAATTATCGATCGACAATAAAGGGAATTTATTTCCATTCTGTTTGCAGGTCCGTTCGACTGAACCAACGAGGAGCAAAAACGTGGCAGATTCGGTGACCCCTCAGCTGTGACCAGGCGCACAGAGAATTAGGGCAGGGAAATGCGTGAATATAAAATAGTGGTGTTGGGTAGTGGAGGCGTAGGCAAGTCCGCCCTCACTGTCCAGTTCGTTCAAGGAATCTTCGTGGAGAAGTACGATCCTACGATCGAGGACAGCTACCGCAAACAGGTCGAGGTCGACGCACAACAATGTATGTTAGAAATCCTAGACACAGCCGGAACGGTGAGTTTTTCCACGTCTGCGAGCTACGTTCTCGCGGTTTCGTTGCTTTTCTGTCATTCATTTAAAAGAGAGTATTCCCGCTTCTTCTCGAGTTCATTTTTAGCCTGTTTCCAGTTATCAAAATATTAATATTTTAATCCTCTATAACCCAGCGTGACTCAAAAATCACATACCCATTATCTACGTTCTCTAATTCCGAAATTAATCAGTACAAAATGGCTGGTTTTATGTTTACTAAAATTTACCATCGAATATATAGCTCCTTATTAGTATATATCAATGTTGATATTGTTTGAGCTTGTTCAGAAACCGAACACAACTTGGGATATAGAGGGTTAATACTGCTTTGTTGCTTCAGAAATGTTTCGGGTCCATTCGAGAACAGAATGTTTGTTTGAGAGAGAGAAGCAGTGAATTATAAATAGGTTGTTTATCTTTCCAGGAGCAATTCACAGCCATGAGGGACCTTTACATGAAGAATGGCCAGGGATTCGTGTTAGTGTACTCGATAACGGCGCAGTCCACGTTCAACGACCTGCAGGACCTCAGGGAGCAGATCCTGCGGGTAAAGGACACCGATGACGTGCCGATGGTGCTGGTGGGCAACAAGTGCGACTTGGAAGACGAGAGGGTAGTGGGCAAAGAGCAGGGCGTCAACCTTGCCCGGTCATTTAGCTGCGCGTTTATGGAGACCTCCGCCAAAGCCAAAATTAATGTTTACGATGTGAGTAGAAGCGAGCTGTCCTCCTCACGGACCCGTCTGTCTTTTGTCCCTGTGGATGGTGTAGGTGTAACTTTGAACGGATGCTAATTCTCGGACGACAATAAGCCGACACTATACAATAGAATATATTGCACGATTCCTTAATGGAATAGAATACATTAAAAGCGACGACTATTCTCCCTTAAAACTTTGATTTTTCGAAAAATTGGCTTGGCAGAAATCGAGAAAACATCATCATTGTGCAGAAATAAGTAGCAAGATAAAATACAATAGATAGGAATTCTGCTTCTTGGGCTTCTAACAATTAATCCTAAGCGTTCTAGCAATCATCTTCGTGAGCAGTGTTATTAAATTTCTTTGTTATCCGTAACGAATGCTATAATTTTTTTTATATAATATGCACCAGCCACTTCCAAGGCTGCTGGGTGTCGGTCTGAATCATTGAAGTGCGCTGTCGGCGTACGAGCGACGCATTTGATTCGATGATTCGTGAGTTTTTCAAAATGGCTAACTCACTATTACAAAATAACAGTAGTCTGTTCAAGGGGCCATTGTTGTTTTCTAATTAGTGTGACGTGTGGGAGTTCAAGACCGTTACGAAGGCCGAGATATTCTAATTGAATGTGGGAATGCAACTGTGCTTAGTGTGGGAGTGCGGCTCGCCACTTACAACTCCCAGTCTCTAGCTTCTAACACGTTGATTGTGTGCGATTCCAACACGTTGATTCCATTCCTATTTCCATAATTGACTAATCAAGTAACAGAGAAAATGTTTCTGCCTTAAGAGCTCGATTTTAATTTAAAAACTCTGCGAGTCCATTTCAAAGGATATTTATTCTTATGATCGGGGCACTTGATATAACTGTTTTTATATTAAGCGTACTCCTACTCTCTTTAAATAATCTCTAAATGTTTTAAATGATTTCCCTATTGGCGCCATTTCTATTGCTCGAACCCCTTAAATCATAAGTAAGAGGTTTTACTGGCAATTAGTGTGGACTGAAATCTCCATTTTGCGTCTCAGGTGAAAGTATGATTCAACCGAACCGTATAGTTAAAGCACCCATAATTGACTGTCCATTGATTCCGTTTCTATTGCTCCAACTTTTTAAATTACAAAGAAGTCATCCGTAAACAGGTTAAATTTAAATTTCCATTCTGCGTATCCGGTCTAAAGTGTAATTCGACCGTGTCTAGTGCTCATTATACGCGTTGTTGGTATCTTACCTCCAATCCTTTTACAATTTCCTACACCAGGTTCTTGTAACACGGATTTTCCATGAAATTGTTGTTCTCGAAGTTGCCGTGAAACGTTGTTTTAAATCTCTTTCGTCTTCGAGAGTCTTCGAATGGGGATATTTGCTGACTGTAATGATTTGTGTTTCCTTCCAGGAGCGTGTTTTCCCAGGAAAAGCTTGTTTCTTTATCGATGCAGTTTTAAAGATTCCTCGTTGAACAGTACTTGGGGCAGTTCTGAATAAGTTCTCTTCTCTTGAGAATTCATCTCCCGTGCCTGCGTTTGATTACTTTTGTTATTTCGTTCTGCAATTGAATTGTGTAATTGGAGCACGGTTTTCTTGGTGGCTTTGAATGGGAAATACACCGCGTCGCTTTTGTCGAAAGCGCGACGCGGTGATTATTTTGTGCAAATAAAGGAAAATTGAATGATCCATGGAGTGTAATTGAAGGTCCACTTAGGAACGTTTGTTCGGGAACTATTGGAGGGTAAGATGAAAGTCAGGTGTAAACAGATGTGAACATTGGATTCGTAACAGTACGCAGGATAAATAGAAATAACAACACGGTGCGGGAACATGTTATTTTAAATAAATTTTATTTACATCCATGTATCAACTTTCACGCTGAAACGCATCTATAGAATCTTGGACACCGCATTCCTTCATTACCAATTCTCCTTTCTATTTATACAAAGACTTTCCCAGTTCTTAACACTCGAATCAGTTTCTTCGTGAAAACGTGGCTCAGTTTCTCTACTATCACGGCTAAAACGGAGATAAAACGAGTTCAACTTCGTTACTTCACGGATAACTTTCGAGAAGATCAAACTTACTCTCAGTTTACACGTAAAGCGAAGTTAAACTTAAATTAACCAAGGAGGACAAGTTTAAATCAACGACTAACGGTGCTTTACGAAATAACTGTTCCAAATAAATTCCATTCGCGTTCATCTACCCGTTTCACATTATTTCGCTGTGGCAGTTATACTGGATTGTTGCAGGAATTCCAGCATCGCGCTCGATTCTTAATTCCGAGGAAATGCCTGCCATAGAATTCAATTATTTTCCATCTATTCTTGGCCGATGAGTTGGATTTCATTGGAATAGTTATTCAGTTGTGGTAGTAAGATACATAATCCTATAATTTGAGTTCTTCGGTAGTACCAGCAAGTAAAATGGAGTTTTCTATGAAGTATTTCCAGTATAAAGAGCAATAATTATTTCATCTCAGCGCTGCTAGTTAAGCTAGTTAGCTAGTACATCTTACCTCAGGCTATTAACTGTCTCTTCAACAGTGCCCAATTATCCGATAGTTCATCAGTTCATAATTGCTTTGAACATATTATACAGACGATTAATAGTAGTTTGAGGCTAGATCTACTATTGTAGATAGCTTTATTGATAGAGCCGGCAGTAGATCCGAGTCAAAGCACAGTGATATTGCTCTTTGTACCAAACCTTCGTTCGAGCGACCATTTTGATTTTAAGATAGTTTTGAAGTTTGCACCAAAGTCACAGTATATAGCCAGCACACGCGACAGTATCTAACCGGTACCGTATCGTCTTTGGTTGCAGGTCTTCTACGATCTGGTGCGGCAAATCAACAAAAAGTCGCCAGAGAAGAAGATAAAGCAGAAAAAGAAATCGCTGTGCCTACTTCTGTAAGGTACAGATCTAGCAGAAGCCCATACTCTCCTGCGTGAACAAAAAATCCGGATATACCAGTAGAGAACAGGGGTTCAGGCGACTACGGAGCAAATACTGGTGACAAGGAGGGGGCTGACGGAATCACAAGTAAACAGAGACAACACAGTGGGGCTCAGACGGGGGAGTACGTATGGTCGTAGAACATCAGAAGGAAGGTGATAATGGAACACGGACGAATGAAGAAGGGGGAGAGAGAGAGGGTACGGGAAGAAGACGAGGGGAGAGACGAAAAGGGAGAGGGGGAGGGGGAGAGAAATAGCGAGGAAAAACTAATAATGTTGTATATACGTTGGTCCCGGGGTGGCTCGTGTGCACGCGCAAACACAGGCGCACAAAGAGTTTTAGTGTTAACGAGACCCCGTGGCGTCGGTTATCATTGTAGGAGTTTTGCATTAAAGAAGAAGACGAGGAGGCGGAAGAAAAAAAAAAAAATATGATTAATTAATGATAGTATATAAATATATATATATATTATATATATTATATATATAAATATATAAATATATTTAGGAGGAAAGGATGAAAAAAGCAAAAAGAAAATGTTTGGACGTGCGCGTGCGCAGGCCACCAGCCCCCATACATCGCCCGCCGCGCACCTCTCTCTTAAATATAATATAATAATTATACATAGACGGTACACACACACACGATGATTATTATTACTATTATTATTATTATTAATTATTATCGAAGCATCAAAATATTCATAAGTTATATCAACCGTTTGTTTCTCGAACAATATATGTTTTTTCTATATCTCTCCGTATTAAAGCAAATAATAAAAAATCTTTCAGTGAATGTTAAAAAAAAAAAAAATAACAAAAGAAAAAAACACGAAAAAAAAAAAAACAGACGAAAAGCCCAGGCTGGTTTTCCTCCTTGTTCTACCGGACGGCCCTTTTCCTTTCGTCGATCGAATTCGATGGAAGCTGGGTAGCGTAAGTTCAGTCGTTGCGCTGACTAAAATGATGGCCCACGTTGTTGCGATTAATACAGTTCAAGATTTCGAAATGCGAGCCGTGTGTTCCTTTGGATAAAATTCCAAATCAGGCTCGTGGGATGTTTAGGGATATAGCTTTCTTTGAAGCAGCGTTTCTCAACCTTCTTTTTGGCCCAACGCCATCCTCCTTCCCCACCCTCGAACTGCGTACACACCAATGCAAAACAATTTTTTATTGCATTTTAATTTAGTAGCTATTTGAAACTACGTTGTCCAAGATTTACGGATTGCTGAAACACGTAAAGATTCCCTGAAATGTAATATCCGAAATATAATAAACTTTCAGCTATGTTTTCCTTTTAATCGTGGCTTTTCCTTTTTTCTTCATTTGGCGGTATTATTTTACAAAAAAGCCACGATTGTGCGATAGCGACGCTATTGTAGATAATTATTACCGGAATTACCTTTCCTTTCATATGTTTCGAGTGGATGAAAATTTGACGCCCACAAAAGACGAACGGTTAATTTTGACGAGAAAATAATTTCTTTTTTTATTTTTCTTTCAGAAACATATATACAATATTTTTAGTATATTAATAAATAGTGATATACTTAACGTAAAAAGAATTTTTAATGATTATCCACTGAATACAGAAACGTTATTTATTCAATTCACTAATGAAAATAACATTCTTTGTGTTCGTTACGTTTCTATGAAAAGTTTCTGTATTCGGGTGTATCGAACGTTTTTATATCTTATATATTATTCAATCGTTAATAATATAATTTAAAACATAGTATATAAAGAGAGCATACCAAACGTATATGTGTCTTACAGTACGAATGTGCAAAGTACATTGAATTTACAATAGCGTCTAAACATTGCTCGCAATAATAAGTGACAGGTCTAAAAAAATTAAAAGTAAGTGCTTCAGCGATTCGACCTACATTGTTACCATCCCTTAATGTGTCCCCCCCATTGAGAAAGACTCAAGGAGTGTGCTGTCGCTCACGTTGAGAAACGCTGGCCCAAAATATAATACAGCTAACATTCAGAGATCTAGAACAGTATTAACACATTCACCCCGTAATTCCGGCCGATTTCAAGGCTTCCATCCCAACTACACATTGTTGAAGTTACTATTGTAATATTAAGATAGAAATTTCCTGAACTTAAACTACCTAGTTCCTCAGCCTTTCAATGAAATTCGTTCCCCATTAAGTGTTTTGAGCGTTTTGGTTGTCTTTACGACTAATTTATTATTTTCTTTTTGTAGATCGATAAGCGATGCTGGTGCATCCGTATTAATTCTGTATATTTAGGCCTCTTTTATGCACGCGTCAGTGTGTCGGAAACGTGATCCATTTTGTGCAGTATTCTTCCGCGAGTCTAACATATATATATATATACATAAGCCAGGTATCAAGACGGTTTAAGCAGAATCGAAACTGTGTAAAGTAGCTGTCTTAGCTAGCCTAGTCGAAGTTGCGTGACTAGGTATCTCAAACGTTAATACAAACTCTATCCTTGCACGAGCTACGTTTTAAAAAAAGTCCTCGGGACAGAATCTCGAGGCTCGAATGCTCGGTATCGCACAACAATAGGACCCCGTTCGTTCGTGTACCAAAATATCTGAATTTCAACAACGTTTGCGCAAAAGAGGCCTCTTGTTGAGCACATCCAAAGGACAATCTCCAAACATCGACTACGATTAAAGGCACTGCAACGCCGCGGCTACAACGAGACTGCTAAAGATAACGGTGCGAGTGACTTCTCGCCACGCGGTGGACCGACTGGTCATGTTGCAGCAGTTGTTCGTCGCTTCTTCAAGAACCATGGGATAGTACTCGTTCCAAAAAGCAAGAGCCTTGTAATCGATCGCGTTAGCATCGCCCATATCGAGGTTCTTGTCGATGATCAAGATCCCAGGCGCTTCTTCGGTGTACGGTTCCCATTTGACGATGGTGGAGGATGGATTTCCAGTCCTGGCAAAGTTGGCCAGCATCGTCATGATCGCCTCCGACATCTGCCTGTCGTTGAAGTTCCACTGAACAGGAATCCCAGCCGCGAAAGGCAGCCCCCAGACGAAAGGTAGCTCGAACATGTGCGGGACACCTGCCCATTCAGGCACGTCCTTGATGATCGCCTGCGCCTTGGTCCGATAGTCGAATCTGTAAACGAAAGCCTGCTTCTCTTTGGACACCTTGCCAGCCAGAAGAGTCAACCCAGACGCGAAGTTCCTCTCCGTTTGAAAGTCCAGGTATCTGTCGCGAATAACTCCTTGGTCCTTGCTCGGCGGATGTGGCTTGTAGAAGAACAGGACCGCGTCGGTCACCATTTCCGGCTTCGTCATGCACGTGCTGTTGTCGTCGGGGTCCTGGACCAACGAGTCGAACTCTGTCTTGATCAGCGACTCGAAGTCGCCAGAGGAGAGCATTCCATCGGCGTTCCCTTTCTCTAAGGATTCCATGTAAGCCAACGCTTGCTCGTTATTCGTGTAACCCACGAGCAACGGGACGGTGTTCAAGTTACCGTCGATTAACGCTTCTCTAGGATGCACGGGTAGGAACGGTTCCGTGGCGTTGTTGGTCTCAAAGTCCACTATTGGTCCCCAGGTCTCTATGTCGGACGATTCGCGGACCAGGATGCCCACGTCCACGCGACGCAGACACTCCATCAACGCGGTCGTGGGATGTCGATAACAGCCAAACTTCTCGACGATCCGGTCCACTATGGGCAGCTCGGTTTGAGGGGAACCGACGGAGTTCACCGCGTCGCCGCTCATCGCGATCGCCTTTGAGAATTTCCCTCTGCTGAGGGGACTGATCAGGTGCAGGCCAACGCTTATGGCGCCGGAACTGTGCCCGTAAATCACCACGTTGGACGGGGACCCACCGAAATGCTGGATCTTCCTCTGCACCCACTCCAGAGACGCGATCTGATCGAACATGCCATAGTTGCCTGGCGCCTCGGAGTCCGTCGTCGTGAAGAAGCCCAGGATGTTCAAGCGATACGCTACCGTCACCACTAATATCTACGAGAATACATCGCGTAATTAATAGTATCCACAAATCTGAGAACTAGACGTAACCTATCACCGAGCAATACGCGTCTGATGAGTACTAGAATTTTCCATCAGACGTGGAAAAACTTCAAGAGGAACAACCCTTAAATACCACTTATATACGATATACAAAAGTTAGACGGTGCTCACAAAAACAGATGAAGATTGAGCAAATATTGAGGTTAATAAGAATAACGGGTTCAAGAATTAGAAAACAAGTAGTATCGGCGACCATGGACAATCTGTAGTCCTCTAATGTCACAAATATTGAGATACGTACAAAGGGTTTAAGAATTAGGAACACGATACTCCCATGAACAAAGGAAGATCGAATTTTGAATACCACTCGTGAAATATTGAAAATATATCTAGATATTTCAATAAATAGGGACTCATAGTGCTCGGTTAATAATAGACAAAGAGTTGGTCCAATCGACACGGCCAAAGCCTAGAAGTAATAGAAAGATCGGAGTGAAATTTCCTGTACAATCTCGATATACCATGTTGTGTTTATAACAATTTACAAACTCCATAAATGCATTCCTTTAATGACGAACCAATAATCCTTTCATACTGCGATAGCCCGTAAGACTTTCATGGTAGGAGTTGTTGGCAAATGGTTTGAAATTAGCATTTATAGCCGTGTATAAAGCATGCATCATAGATGGACCGCGAACAGTGCAATTCCAAAGGTTGGATTTACCTTGGGAGAAAGTGGCACGCAAGAAACACCCTAATTTTGTTCAATTTTCTGTCGACTTTTAACGTTTGCCTCATTGATTCAGAATCAGAAATTCTTCCCAAGAATCGGTGCTAAGGTCAAAACGTCTGCAGTTGTTTCTTATTACTTTATAATGCAATAATTCGAATAAGTCGAATCGAAGCTTCACAGAAGTTGCAATTATTGGTGCTTTTGTTTATCAACTTACTTTCTGTTTACTGACAAAAATGGACGCGTCCAAAATTGCTGGTGTGCCAGTATTGAAGTCACCCCCATGAAACCATACCATCACTGGCCATACCTCGTCCGGTCGATTTCCTGCACAAATATTAATTCACGTAATGTAGTATCCATTCACATTTTAAAATATAATTTTACCTCCACACACTACTTCTTAAGAAGTATTTCGAAATTTTTTTAAAGACAACGCAGTTCCATAAATTGTTTAATTGTTACTTGAAGGAATACAGATCGAATTATAAATTCGTGTAAAAGGTATGGCCAGAGTCGTACGAAACCACTTCATCGTCAGTTCAGAATAGATCCACCCGATTGGCCATAGCATTTGCACGAATAAAAATTTATTGATATAACTTGGTACGTTTGTAGTTTGATGTGTATACTTTGAGGTAACAAATAAACATTTTGCATAATTATTTTTCAGCTCACCGCTCCCCCCTTTAAAAAACCACATCAATTGGTTCGCTTGAAATCGTTTTCTAAAACACTTGTCTCGTTATTTTTTTAGTTTAGAAGAGTAAGTAAGAAGTAGTGGACGAAGAAAGTAATTGCCGCCAACGAATTAGAAGCATTTGTTGGCAGGGAGATCGAGAGCCCTGGTTTTAAGTAAATTCGTCACCGAAGTAGTAAGTACCGTGACTGGCATTCAAGGAATTAATGGACTCGCATTCAGCCTAAATGAGCCTGCATTCGCGAATTCCGAAGATCGCCGAGCCGGCGTGCGTGCTCGCGAGTATCCGGTTCCGGTTAAACCGGTGAATCGATCGTGACAGAATTTGCATAGCGTTATCCGTTACTAGCGATGGCTCTTCTGAAGTTTGATCGCGTCACGGCAATCTCGAACCATGTAGACCCATTACGTAAATCCTGAAGAAGTATACCGGACATAGAATCTCCTAATTGCCCCTCCAAATAATAAAAATTGTCCGAGTGATCGATCGACTCAGAAAAAAAATATGACTTAACAATTTGCTCATATTTTGGATAGATTTTGGTCAACTTCAACAAACGTTTCACAATTACAAGCGACCTTGCTAAAAGAGCATCGTGAAATGCCGGAAGAACTGGTAAATAACACGATGGACAGTATTGCGTTGTTTGCCAAAGAAAACAGATTACTCGGGACCATATGTGTCCAAATAACACTTGTTTGCTATGCCAAACGGTAATCGTTCGAACGCCCCGTCCTTAAATAATTTCACCCTTTATTCAAACATAGGGTGCCCCGATCGTTTATGAATCGCGGCTGGCTAGCCGAAAGGCACGAGTCACGACCATCCCCCTCCTCGCGGTCTATGAATAATTGATTTCGACGATTTCTTCGACGTCCACGGGTCAGTTTTTCAAGCGTGCCAAGGTCGATGGAATTTAGGCCATTGCACGGTGGGGATGCTTTAGATGACGCGATAACGAAAACGATAGGCCCGTGCTAACAGGAAGTTTGGGGGTGGTCTTCGTTATCGGGACCGGTGCCGTCTGAGAGCGTTCAGGAATAGCAGCCTGGGGATACACACGCCCGCCACAACAATTCATTAGGGGTTTATCGCGATTCCACGCTGCACGTATCTTTTGGGCACCGTTTCTTGCGGCTGACAAATAGTTAGGGGCTATTACTTCTGACTCCCGACCGTGTAACAGGCTTCTGGAGAGTCTGGATATAGATCTTGTTGCTGGTGGTGCGGTTTGATCGGAGACCAGGGTTAGGTGTCTAATAAACTGTTCCACCGTGACTCGTAGACTATTAATTTGGAGTTTGGACAGTGTAACAGGCATACGGGAGGTTGGGATTTAGGTGTTCCTGGCCAAATGGTCCAAGTTAGATCTGGGTTAGGCTTCGTAGGTCTTATTTGTGGTCAGGGGATTTGATCGGAAGATTTTGGCTAGAAGCGTGTTAAAGATTATTAATTTCGAGTTTAGCCTGAGCAACAGGCTTCTGGGAAGTTTGGATCTAGGTCTAGTTCCTGGAAGGCGGTTTAAGTTAGATCTGGGTTAGCTTTCTAGGTCTTATTTGTGGTCTACGTTAGTTTGCATTAGTAGACCTTGGTTAGGAGTTCGGTAAACTATCTCAGCGTGAGTTGCAAACTGTTAATTTTGAGTCTAGGCTGAGCAACAGGCTTCTGGAAAGTTTTGATCTAGGTCTAGTTCCTGGGGGGTGGTGTAACTTATGTTTGGGATAGTTCTTCCCGATAGCTTTAACTTGATTTTATGAAATATAAATAGAATCTTCCTTTAATTATCTTAAATTCTTAAATCATGCGAAACTCGAGAATAGAATTTCTAAGAGCTTGTGATTTAGAGAGTTAGTCTAGCAGCTTAAACGGCATTTCGTTCGAGTGGATATTCTGCTTGAAGGCGTGGAAAATGTATGGAAAATTCCTGGAATATTCAAACGGTTGACCGATTCTGTCAGATTCGGCAGCGGTACGTGAAAGAAACAAAGGGAGCCACGGCAGAGAAAAGAGGGGGTGGTTTCGTGACCGGCCTCACCAGTATCTTAACATCTCGACCGACCCTAAAAGATCGCGTGCCACGACGTGCGCCAGTTACTGTTACTCTTACTCCTTGCTGTTTCTATATCGACCGCAGGTGGCTTGCGGATCGGCACGATTTCCCGATTCACATGTCCCCTTTCCTATTTTCCCCCCTTTTCAGTCACGGTTGACATACCTATTTTTCTTAATTCGCCTCGCTCTCTGCCGCTTCGTTTGAGAACTAAGATGGCGTGCGCCAGTTGGTTCTCGAGGGCACTAGAATCGAAATGATATGCTAATCGAATGGCAGGATATATTCAGAGACCAGGACCAAAAGTGGAATGTGCCATTTTAACACGTTCGGTGACCAAAAGCATGTAAAATAATCACAACTTTCTACATAATTTGGATCGAGATCTAATCCCTGGTTTTTTGGGGCCTTGTCGATGTAATTGTATCACAAGAAAGCAGGTGTTACAGAGCAATTGTTGGGTAACTAATAACGAGCAACGTCCTCGACCTATATTAGAGATTTATATAAATTGCGATATGATCAGTCACAGTTGAAGGTTATCGAAGATTATCCTAAAGTACGTTAAATTATATCATTAAACTCGTTGCCCTGATAGTGGTCCGCTTGGCAAGGGTGTAGCGTTTGATCTTGATAATCGTCGTGTTCTTCGAACACGGTGTGTCATACTGAAAGCTGCCGGGCATTTTTTCTATTGCGATAATTTCAGGAACCGACCGATAAAAGAGTCTAATCTTCGACCGAGAATGTTCAGTCGCTATTACCGCAATGTTTTTTTTTTGTTATCGATTCACCCAATGCAGCCTTCAAATTTAGTATTCTTTTACGATGCGCTATCTGGCAAGTGCATGCCACGAGATATCCAAAATTAGTTTTAAATGATGTTCGTAATGCCGCTATTAGTCGAGCCCTTAACCCGACATCCTTAAACAGCGAGATTAACGTGCTACCGGCACGCAGAGGTTGCATTTATTGTCAATTGAGAAATTGGAACAGGAAATTACTGCGGATATAAAATTATTGTTTATCGTACACTGGCCGTCGAAAGTAACCAAGGCACGGAGCTAGGAATTATATTACACCGTAGATTCGGCATCTACAGTTTTTATCGCGAACATAACTCTATTTAATTGTTCGTCCAAAAGTACGTTGAAAATGTATAATAAACTTTTCTCGTACCACGCAGCTCCGTGAAATATCGAGAAAAAAACAAGGAGTGGGGGACGTCGTCGGTGATCATCATTACTCGGTGTTCGCGTGCCCCGGAGAGTTAAATGTCAGTTGGAAGAAAACGTTGTCGTGCCGAATATCGAGTACTTTCATCGGGTTGTATTATCAACGCAGGCGAAAATTACGACTCCCCACCGGTCTTCGTGTGAAACGAGCACCTTCTAGCTTCTGAGCGCGATCGTAGGGTTTCCTAGCCGTCGCTAATGACGCGGTTACACTAAATGACTAATGAAAACTACACGGACGACTTATTTTCGACGATGAAAAATAAGTTTGTTCGCAAATTACGATTCGTTGAAAATCCACTGGCTTTCACGATGAAATTGACCGACTTCCATGTATTGTGTAGGGAAGGAAAAACTAATTCTGGGTTAAGGGGAACCGTGACACCACGAGCGAGGGTAATCGTGGGGCAGTGACGAGTAGTTTTTGCTTAGTCATCGACTTTACCGAGGCTGACGTATGTTTCGGTGCGATTCGTAATTTCTTCCAGGACTAATTACCTGCTCTTCGTACAATACATGTCATTGTTATTGCTTTAACTTACCGACTGGTACGTAGACGTTTAAGTAGAGGCAGTCCTCGCTGACTCCAGGGTCAGGCTGATCGGGTGGTAGCAATTTCTTGTAATGCTTCTCGTGCAGCTTCAGTCGGTTCGTCACTTGTTGGCAGGAGGGTGCGAATTGCGTGGCATTTCGTATTCCGTTCCAGGAAGGAAGGGGGTCCGTGACAGGTGTGGAGAAACGTAACTTACCCAACGGTGGTTGGGCGTAGGGTATCCCCAAATACTGTATCACCTTTTGACCGTGACTTATGGATACCTGGAATGGTATACACATATTGCGAATATGAACAATAGTAACTGGAAACCTAAAACATACACAGCAATCCCTAATCTTCCATCTTCGATCCAAAAGAATTGAAGGCAGCGAATTCAAAGAAACACAGAAAAAGTCCTAGAACGTTGACTATACCGAAGGAATCTAAACGCGAGACAGGTGCTCCGGAAGACCAAAGGAGTTACGTATAAATCCTCGATAAAAAAAGCTATACCTTCAACAAGCTTTCTCAACGATAACCTGAAATTAACACGTTAAACGCCACGCCGGCCCCTAGGGACTTTTCGTACTTGTGAGACTGAACATTTAATTTAGGCTAGAACGGTTTTTGTTTGGTCAATGCTTTAAGGAAAAGAATAGAATGCTTAAAACATTAATGTAATTTATTAAAACAAGGTAAACAAAAGTGAGGTTTGTTTGTACACTGATTACAGAAGGTTGTAACCGGAATATAATTCGTCCACGAAATGGGATCATTGATTCGTCGAGACAAATCAATTGGATGGTAATATTTTTTAAAATTTTCGTTCAACTTGCCGATAATTGGCTGAATTTTATACAATCAGCAAGCATTCTCAAAATAATCTCGAATCGGTTCCTGCTTATTACTTTGTGTGGGGATCGATGATAATATAAAGGATCCATGGACCAGTATAAAATTTGTGAGTGGCCCGGAAGTGTCTGCTTTATACCTGACTGTGGTGTCAACGAAACGGTACGTAAAACCGGCGTGGCGTTTAACATGTTAAACTGGATAAATTGCTCATGTGTATGGTTAAGGGTAATCGTCTAAAATTACCTACAATCAGAGTTTCTGGCTACTTAGATTTAAACTCAGGTTCGAGAACACCTTGCAAAAATTGCTGGTTTGCCTGTACAGCGAGATGCAATTAAAATAACATTACTTATGTCTCCTAGTTTCACGTAGTTTTTATCTAAATTGCATTCCCGTTTTCGACAATATAAAGGAACAAAGGAATGAAAAACAAATCGGTAGATGAGCTACAAAGGAAAATTCGAAAACGTGAACAAAGAACCATATAAATTGGCTGCATTTATATTTATGGTATTTACATTAAATATCGAAGCTTTTGTACCAAAATTAATCCTTTCTGACTAACGATGTTAAATACCAGGCGACCACATATGTAAATGATTATTCGTCGATCGATAATTGCAAATATTAAAAAATAAACCAGCGCAGTAATCGGGGCGTTAGGTTCTCGATATAGAAATTTGTTTCTCGGGAATATAAGGATACGTTAAAGGACACGATTATACTTTGAAATGAGACCGAAATGCCGCAGTTTGAAAACCTTTAACCGCATTTTCCTAATTGCAAATTCTCCGTGACTCGAACACCGTAGGGAAAGGAGAAAAAAAATCTATAATATTAAAATTCATACAAGTCCTCCCTGGTGTGTATATTCATTGTGCATGATATCTGCATACACTTAATTCGAACAATTGAAACTTACGGCGCTTGCATGTTTTTGTTCGGCGCGGGTGTATAAAATATCAAATAATTATTCAACTTGTGAATTTCTTGCTTCGGTATTTTCATATTAGACAGTGATATATGCGTGTCGGTTGTATATCGTTGAATCTTACGCACAAAGGGTATAATAAATTACGAGCGAATGCCCTTTGGCGAAACAGGTATGGTTCGAAAGAAATGCAAATCGAAGAATGAAATAGAAATACGTAGGAGAATATATTGCTTATTTGAATATAACAACAATTAGTTGAACGACGCGGTTGCAGAATATTAGAAGTTGTTGTTAGTTTCCGTTACCAACGTTAGTACTTTTCCATATTTACGCTTGTCAGAACCGAATTATAAAGTAACGATCTTTAATGGCGAATTCTAAAACTTCGCCTGACAGCTCTGATTTATCGCCCCCGCGCACGTCGACGCGAAATAACCGAATTCTGGATTGTTTGAATCGCCGAAGAAACTACTAAATGCCACGGTATTTAAGAACATAGTTGGAAAGATTAATTGCACCACAGAATCGTTGGCCCGACATTCCGAGAACCGAATTGTTTAAATCTTAAAATTGTTTAGAGAGAAAATTAAACGGTTTAAATTTAAAGAACGTTGGTAAAAAGATTAATTACCTAACATAATTAGTAGCCAAACCGTACTTCAAAAACCCTTTTCCAACACTGTTCCACGACAAAAACCAATAAACTCGTATACACCCTGCAAGGGATGCATTTCATTAAAATCTACAACTTCGAAGGGACGCCCGTGCGAACGAAGAACCACCACGTTCGCGAGCCAAAAAGCGTTTCGTTTAATCGCATAGCAACCATATCCATGGGTGGCACCTGGACGGGGAGTAAGAATGGCAGAGATTTGAATAAATTGTCGCACCTCCTTGCCAGCGACCGTTCCTTGGTCCGGAATCTTGACCAGAGGCTGCTCGCGTCCCAACCCCTGTTTCGCGTGGGTCCACTGCGACCGAACGACCACTATCCCGGCGAAGAAACGCGGGAGCAGAGCGAAAACCAGCCACGCCGGACACTTCATTCTGCAGACTGACTGATTTGCTTCGGAAACAATCGGCGGTACCCCCGAGGTAGCCTCTCGGGTCTCGGTTCGCCGTTGCGTGACTCCAGCCGACCACCCTCGGCCAGGTTCTCCTCCTTCGGGTAGCTTCGAAACGACGGGGTGGAGGTCGAGGCCTGCACTCTCTTGCCCTGGCTTTCTTCGCCCCCTCTGACCGGGCCACCCTTCCTGGTCAACACACTTTGTCCTTACCGAGTCGTACGAATCAGCGAACTAACGCAACGCATGCTAAAACCACATACAATGCCCGAAGACCAGAGTCGAATAGAGAGATTTAATTATTATCTTTGGTTATACTATTGACTCTCTCCTATTTTATCCAGGTGTTGTTTTCACGGAGCAGGTAAAATAATCACGGTCACTGTTGAGGAGTATCGTCTCCACGAATCCTGAACGCTGATCGTCTTGTATCCTGGAGTGTAAAGAGTCTGTGATAGTCAGCACATTAAAAACGACCACTCAGGCTATTACCAGGTCGCTGGTGGCTCAGGTGGGAGCCCAAAATAGCGGTCAGAGGTAGTGACGATGTGTGGTGTGACACCATAGATCGTTGGAGGACTGGGCCCATCTGTCCCCTGAGATGGACGCATAGCAAGGGCGTGGAGGGACACTGTTGCAGTTACGGGGTTTCCAGTGTCCCTTCGATACGCTTAAAGTAGGTCACCGTAGGGTTTTTACCTCCAGGGCTTTGGAGAGTTCATGGAGGATTGTCCCTACGTTAAAAAATAAAACAAAAGTCTTGATCAACCTTTCCATTTTCCTTAATACACTTCGCCTCCTCAAGATTTCCCCTTTGGATACTTAGAATCCAATTCTTCCTCGGATGTCGTTTTCGCAGGGCAGTCATGGTGAAATAATCATCGTGACTGTTGGGGAGTAGCGTCCCCACGAACCCGAAACGCTGACTGGCCACCATGACACACAGATCACAAGTGAAAGTGTCAAATTCGAATGATCCATTCAACAGTGCATCCGAGTGTAATCGGACAGCATAGTTGACGGATCAGAAAATGAAACCCTGTTCAGTGATTAAAATTGTAAAGGATAAATGGAAGTGCAAAATTAGGTGTCCAAATCCTTTGGTATGGAGTCTTGCCAGGAGGCAGATAACATACTTGCGATATCCAGCTCACAGTAGTATAACTCAAAAAAGCCCCGCCCCATGTCAATCGAGGCGAAGCAACCTACAGCCATGGTCCCAATTTCAAAACCCAAAATTCAGTCGATACCCCCAAGTTTATCGATAAATCCCACTAAACTATACAGGTGTTAACTGTATTTTGTCCCGATGCTGTTAACGCAGTTCGATCATGGTGGAATCATCTCCATGAGTAAAGGATAAATGTAAGTGCAAAATTTGGTGTCCAAATCCTTTGGTATGGAGTCTTGCCAGGAGGCAGATAACATACTTGCGATATCCATCTCACAGTAGCATAACTCAAAAAAGCCCCGCCCCATGCCAATCGAGGCGAAGCAACCTACAGCCATGGTCCCAATTTCAAAACCCAGAATTCAGTCGATACCCCCAAGTTTATCGATAAATCCCACTAAACTACACAGGTGTTAACTGTATTTTGTCCCGATGCTGTTAACGCAGGGCGATCATGGAATCATGTTCATGATCGTTGGGGAGTAGCGTCCCCACGAACCCGAAACGCTGACTGGCCACCATAACAAACAGATCACAAGTGAAAGTGTCAAATTTAAATGAACCATAGTGGATAGATCAGAGAGTGTAACTGTGTGTTCAGTGACTGAAATAATGAAGAATTAATTAAAAGGAACTGAAAGTCTGGGAATAGACTCTGCAGGTAAGTGCTACTACTGTTGTTGGTAGTCATTCGTTTGGATAGGTAAGTCTGAAGAACATTGATAGGGTCGATTAAGTCCCCTGGTTCGACCAATCGGTAAGGACCATCGTAGTAACCGTGATATCTAATCGAGGTTAGAACTGAGGCTTGCCTTGGGTGTTGCGGTGCGATTACGTTTGCTAGCACACCATCGTAGCAGAAACGGTAGAGATTTAGAAAGCCCTTGCGCGGAACAGTGTGGCTATTTAGGGGTTTGTAACGTGGTATTGTACCAGTAATCCATAGTCAAGTGCAGATTCTAATCTCACGCCCGAGAATGGGTACTTTATAGACAAGCAAACGAAATGTCCCGGTGCCAGCGATACCACCAGAGTTCATCCAGAATCGAGCTACCTAAAATCATGGTTTTATTTGCAAAACATGTAGATTCCGTTGCGTTTCTTTGGCGCAAGCGTCTGTCTCTCGTTTGTGCACACTACTTTATTAGAGTAGGCGGTTCCTTTCGAGTCTGAACGGATTCTAAGAAAGATTATGACGTTATTCGCTGGGGGGAAAGTGGCCTTGAACGGTCAGTTGACTTTGCGCCGATCCGATGAGTCTTACTGCCATTTTGGTCAACAAATCCGGCTCTTAGCAAATTGTGCAGTCGGTGGAAGTGATGTAGCAATCTTGGAACACGCGTGCATTAAAATGTAGTTAGCTCTGTTTAGTTAGAACGTTTTCCACGAAACCAAATCGAAGATGATCGAACAAAAGTCGTCGCCCTTTCTATTCTTCAATTTACCGGCGAGTCATTGACGATTTAATTTCGTGTTATATGATTTCCAATTCCCTGAAGGACGCGCTCAAAGACGGGTTTAAACTTTATTTTTGGAGCGATAGCGGAACGAGATTAAAGAAATATAGAGAAACGAGTGATTGAAAAGGGTAGCGGTTAGCGTGACCGCAAAAATCGAAGGAACGAAGAGATAACAAGCGAAAGTATTAAGTAATATACACGTCGGGCATGTAGGTGAAAGGCAATGTATAGTTTACGAGATGATTGAAGCCAATTGGGGCAATGAATTCAGAAACGAACAAAGCTAGAAGGATCGAACTAAGAATTCTATTATGTCCGCAGTAATATTTCAAACGAAAACTAAATTTTTAAATTGGGTCGACTTAAATTAGCTGCCATGTTTATTCGAACTAAAAGTAATCAATTTTCAAGTTTAGATGTTAAAAGAAATATTTGAATAGGATTCGTGAACTCGAGGATTAGAAAGAACAATCGTTTGCAATCAAAGCCTTGGTCTTAACTTGTTAAAATGAAAAGTTCCATAGAAAAGATTCTTATCGGTATCTAAATATAAATTGACGATACTTTGGCGAGATTTTAAGCATTAATCGACACGAACGCGAAGAAGTTGTTTAGAAAGAGGAAATAATTTTGGGGGAAAATTGTCGAGTTGGCCTACTGGCTCACAAATAAGAGTTGGTATATCTAACACGGCAATTTCGTGGGCAATCTCTTTTGTGTTGTCCTTGAAAATCGATATCAAGGGTCTTTCGCCTCGGTGGCGTAGCAGCACGCTATCATTAAGATGCGATCTTCATGCGACCGTCCCTAACTAGTACGACCTTGAACGTCGTGTCGCAGAAGAATATCTATAAAGCTGAAAAATAATTGGTCCGTCGGAGTGGAAACTTTACAACGTGTGCTCGTGATAAAACCGTAGACGTGGTTCTTAGGGGCGAGCGCGGTAAGATTTATGCGCAGTTATCGCGGTAATCGGGACTCGCGAAAGGGGTGTTGATCCTAAATATTAGATTGCGTTACGAACGTCCACCAAACTAGGGACTTTTCACGGTAACAGGCGTGCACTTCGCACATTGATCGTCGCATCGCTTATGGGGCCATTCGTGTCATTTCGTGGCACGTTGATGAAAATAAATAAGCACCGCGATAAAGTTTGGTCGTTACGCGGTTTCTTATTGTCTAGAAACAAAATGTCCGTAAAAAATTTCACGGCGATTGTTACAGCAGTTAATGTGTTGAGTCGTTTGGCATCGAATCGGAAAGTCAATACTATGATCAGCAATTCTTTCGGAATAGTTATCACAATGCACGCGATATAATGTGCGGTATTGTACAGCGTGACACAGCCTCGTACAAAGTTGTGCAATACTCGTATACCTCGTCTGTGGCTATAGTACTTTGGAAACTGTGATATAACAAAGTGTCGTAAAATGTTGCGCAATATTTTATAGCGTTCAATGGTACTGTACTGTATAGTATTGTAAAATATTCTAAAGCGCTATACTGGCATTAACACTAGGCTATGTTGCGTAATGTTATTGCAAATTATTCTTAGTATCATTCTTTTGTTCGAAACATTGCCTAGTTTCAGGAACTTTTTGTTTGGACCAGTGACCGCCAGGTGGACATAATATCTGTCAGTGTATGAATTGTACAGACTTCTACTGTACCGCCACACACAACTGCAGAAAATATCGTTCCATATTTCTCTAATGAGAACAATTTTTAACTATAGTCCGGGTAAATTCTGAGTTCCAAATATTTTTGGTTTTTTTAAACATCGACAACCGACCGCGCCTCTTCAAAGGTCATTGTGGTTCGCAGATGATGCCGTTAGGTGGCCAATGATTTGTCGGTACAGAAACTGAAGAGATTCGATTTTTTAAATTTGTAAGCGGAAGAAACTTTTACTGAAAATTGCAATGACAATTACAAAATGTAATATTGTACAATACACGGACAAAACTTTAGTTGTTCTATCGAACAAATGTCACGAATAAATTGTACGTTCGTCGTATTGGTTATCAAACGTTAGAATTAAATTCTGTCTATTTCTGGTTTCAATTTTCCTCGCGCATGCGCGTCGCGTTTCCATGTTAGGTAGTGGGGCAACAAAGGCAAGGTTTCTTGGCGGGGGAAGGTTACTGTTAGTCTGCTCATGATCCTTATTCGACCAAATTTGTACGTGTAGGGCAACGGAACTGTTTACTTAGACCGGGGGGCACACGAGCATCGAAACGACGTTTTTATGCACTTCCTTGTCTCACAATTGAAAAGACAGAAACGCCGATCTTGTCTGTCTTCGTTGTTTTCAATCGCAAGACAAGGAAGAACATAGAAACGCTCGTGTG